GGGGGCTAAGGGCTTCTGCCCTGTGGTGGGACTCTGGGCTTCAGCTGTGGGGCAGCGGGGCTCTGGGCTTCTGCCCCACAGACCCCTGAAACTGGCTCATGGACCCCAAGAGGGCTGCGGCTTTCTGGTTGAGAAGTGCTGGTTTACGCCACACTGCATCAGGCTGAAGTCAAGGTTTGAAAATATTTACTGGAGCTGCACTCTGAACAGTCTGGCTGAATTTAAGCCCTGATTATACCAGTATAGACTTAAACTGAAAAAAAGCCAGTCTTATTCCAGGTTTCAGAGTAGCAGCTGTGTTAGTCTGTATCCGCAAAAAGAACAGGAGTACTTGTGGCACCTTAGAGACTAACAAATTTATTAGAGCATAAGCTTTCGTCTTATTCCAGAATATCTTAAACTGCTTCTGAAAGGACATAATTTAAACCAGAAAAGGCACACTGTTTTATACCAGAGTAAGTGTGTCCACTCAAGCAGTTATACTGGCATAACTTCAGTGGTTTAAATGCACACCCTACTTTGTACCAGTATAACTTTTCTGGGTAGACAAGTCCTCAGACTGGGGCCACGTTGTACTAAGTACCATAGATTGTTCCAGTCATGAAGAGTTTATGGTCTAAACAAGGCAGAAAAAGGGTAGCAGAAGGTGATGGCTTAAAAATTTCATGTTAGATCATTAATATATAGAAACCACCCACTTACTTCCACAATTTATGTTTGTGGTTGCAGTGCTATTAGTTGCTGGTCATTTTAATAAAAATACTTGGCTTCTCTGGGATTGCAGGTAGAGCTTTGTTACAATACCACCACTGTTTTCTACCCCAGATCTTCACTATCAATGGCTCATGTAATTTTTTCTTACATATTTTTCCTGCTACTCCCCTTTCTCCTGAAACACGCTTGTTTTGTTTTGTTCCTCCATCTGTGTTCCTGTTCTTTGCTTCACTGCTTTATGCTTTTTTTTCCCCCCAAGCTGCTTACAATACTTGGAGCTGGTTTCCCACCTATCTGATAGGTTAGCCATTTCAGATACCTTCTTAGAACCCACTTACTTCATGAATCCTTCATTTGCTGGCCTCCTGCCCAGTTATTACTGGAACTGTTAATGTTTTGTTTCGTCTGTCAGTAGTAGCTCAAGAAGTAGGGGTGGTGATTTCTTCTGTCTTGTCAATTGCCATGTACATCTACAGACTATATGAACATTTCATAACTTGTTACACATTTGTTGCAGAAAGAATTTATAGATTTTATTTCAGTATAATATACATTCATGAAACAAACAAGCTTCTTAATGTACTGCTTACCTAACCTTAACAGTTTTGTTTGTTTGTTTTTGTTTTTTTCTTCCTAGCTATAAATTGTAGCATTTCCCTCTTCTCAATCCAGCTTCTGTTGGTACTGATTACTTGCATGTATAGCTAAAATCTGTCTTGTTCTATTAAGTGATTGGTGTTTTAATGATGTAGCATGCATGTTTGAATGATATAGCATGGTGCGATACATCTTAATCTTTCAAAAGTAGATGATTATTCTTCCAGTTTTCAAACAGGTAATAAAAATCATTTTGAAGCCCAGGTTTTAAATTGCAGAAAATAAACCGGAGTGCTTATTAATTCTGTTTTAATGGCTTACAAAGGCCAAATTATTTCCCTAGCACTGGTGTATTCATGTTACACATGTCTTAAAACAGATAAGAGTACAAGGAAGCACTTTAGTATGATCAACTTTTTTGGGAGACTTTTTTGGCATTGGCAAACAAAAAGCAGTAGAGTTCAGGAAATGAACATCTCTGTAGTCCTGCATACAACATTGTAGTTTCTGAGTTTGAATAATTTTGTTAAACTTATTTCTCATTCAGGGACATCATGATAACCTATTTTGAACCTTCCATCTCGTTTGAAGGACTGTGTAATAAGGTTCGAGACCTGTGCTTCTTTGACAATGAACAACTCTTCACTATGAAATGGATTGATGAAGAAGGTAAAGTGACATCAAGTAGTTTTGTCTTGTGGAAATTTAGATCTCCATCCTTCTTCTCTTACATAAATTAAGAAGGTGTAACTGAGTTCAGAAGACAACCAGTCATCCCTTTCTTCTGTAAACTTATTTTCTTAATGAAAGTATTTATTTAAAAAACATCCATTATGGTGGCATCTGGATTCTATACTAAATAATTAGTTCCAAACAAAAAACATAATAACCTTGAATTCATAGCCAACACTAAGATCAAATGTTGCAGAACCTACGCATCCTCCCTTCCTCCAACCCTAGTCTTAAACTATATGGAAATGTTCTTAAGCATTTTATCCACAATGTCTTAATGTAACATTCAAATCCTATTGCAGTCAAAGAGACCCCCCCCCACCATTGTTTTCTGTGAGCTGTCAATCAGACCCTTTGACTCCCCCTTATTTCTTCAGGGGAGAAGAGTGGTCCTGTAGAATGAAGGAACAGTAGTAACAGTGTTCAGCACATAAATCTTTGAGGAGCAGACTTGTAGAGCAGTAATATACCTCTACCATTATACTGATGTGGAAACTTTATTATGAGTGCTGCTTCCATGCTAGGGACGGATACTAGTGACTATGACTACAAATAATTTTCTGTGTTCTTTTTAAAGAGAAACGGACTCTGTGCACAAATATCTACAGCTGTATGTACAAACTAAATAGATATTTCCATTTTGAAGAGAGGGCCTGAAAAACCTTCCCCTTCCCTCACCCCCCGTGCCCCCAAATGTGCAAAGGGAATAGTTTAACTTCTGCATATAAGGAATTTACTTGGAACTTAATTTTTGTACTCAATCTGAATTGTAATATTGGTATCTTCTGCCAACGGTCTTTATCCCTATCCTAAGTTAGAGAAGGGTGAAAAATTGGGCTTATTAATGGTGCTGTGGTTATGTTGAAATCTTTTAGTTTCATATGTTATGTACCTTAGTACATAAAGGGTGGGATTTTTCAAAAGCGTTCAGCATTGGCCTGACCACTGACTTCACTGGGAGCAAAGTTCGTCCAATGCTGATTGCTTTTGAAAATCTCATCCATATGTACTAAGTATAGCTCTTCAGTATACATTGTTTGCCTGCCTGCCTGCCAAAGAGAATCCTTAGTCATGTTAGTTTTCCTAGAAACTTGTAATTTAGTTTATTGCACAAAAATTCCTTTCCCAAAGCTTTTTAAAAAAACCTTCAATACAGCTTATTTATACTAGTATGTAAACTGACAGCTTATAATGCACATGCTTTTACTTTCAATTATTTTAGACTAAATTATTCATGCTTGTTGGGGATATAATACAGGAAATATAGTGTTTAATAAGCAAGCAGTGAAACTATGGCTTAAAACTGCCTGTTGAGTAAACAGTTTTATTGGAGTCACACACACTTACGCGATTTTTTTTCTTTGTTTGTTACTAGGTCTAATTTTTTTAGCTCTTGTAAAATAAAAAGCTTGATGCATTGTAACTTCTATTTTTTTTCACACAGGAAGCTAGACCTACCTTAGCTGCTAAATGAGGAATTCAAAATGAGTATTTCTAAAGGGTTTATGAATGCATACTGTTATACAATTCATTACTTCCAACTTTCTTTGAATGCATACAAAACAGCAAATGTTGATGTTGCTCCTGAAAGGATACTTGCTGCTTATTCCCTGTAAAATCCATCTCCTTTTTTTTGTTGTTTTTTTCCTCCCTTCATGACTTTGTTCATATGTGCTCTTACGAGATTTCCTCTACTTATTTAATAGCACTTAATTGAATAATCTGCCATGATTCTTAGTGTTGGGAGCACACAGCTGAAATCTGTAGGTCATGTCAGAGCGAGCATAATTTTTTTCAGAAAAATTTACTCACTGTTAATGCTCTATTAGTCTCTCACTCTAGACCTTGGGTGTATACGAGCGGATGGGTGACCTATTTATGTTGTGGTGCAATAAGTCGTCATGCCCTTTTGTGAATGAACATTTTTATTGTTCCCTTTAGAGTTTAAAGGAAAGATTGCGTGAATGTGGTGGAGAGGACAGCATGTTGTATTTCCTTGGCACACCTAGAAAAAGCTTAGTACAGGTTCCTAGAATGAAACTTCTATCTCAAGCATTATAGGCATTAAATCTACTTAGAGAGATTTAATAGCATCTGCCCATTCACTTTTTGTATTTTTGAAACCTGTGCCACAGTTCTCTGTTCCTGTTTGGTGGTAGAAAAACTGGTTTGGTTGATGTTGCAACACCATTGAATAAAACTAGTTGCTCCTTTTTTTTTTAAGCCTCTGGAGCACATGCATTTATGCAGAGAGTGGGCAGTTCCATGTCCCACAGAGGAACTAATTTCTCACATTGGATGTAGTGAGACATGACAAAATCTGGCTTTAAAGAGCCTATAAATTATTTTAGTCTTGACAGATCATAGCTTGCAGGAAAGAGGAAGTTTAAGCTCTCTGTTTTAACACTTGCTGCCAAAACATTTTAGTAGGTGATCACTAACAACAAAATTGCAAAGGGTAGAGACATTAAATGCCATATCAGTGATAAAATATAGTCAAATCCACATTTTCTGTAGGTAAGTGTAAGGCAAAAAATGGTCAGGTCAGTTTTGTCTTGCAGTGAACGATTTATGCCCTTTCTGTTCTCTTACAATAGCTAATTAGTCCTTGTACAATTGTGTTAACATTCGTATTACTGATTTGCCAATGACATTGCATTCTCATACATTTGAAGCAACTAGTCATGTTAGTAATATGAAGTTTATATAGCTTTTCTAATCTTCAAAGCGTTTTAAAAATGTTAACTGATATTCTCAAGGACATTGTGAAGTAGATGAATATTGTCCAAATTTCTCAAATGTGGAATCTGAGAGAGAGCCTGTAACTTGCCTATAGTTCACAAACAAATCTGTCAGAACCAAGACCAGAACTCAGGAGCTCCTGGCTCAGAGTCCTGTACTTGGCCTATCTAACTTGATTTTTCCCATAGTGTTAGGCCTTAGTTATAAGAGAGTTTCGATAGTTTAACTTAAGATGTTGGATTAGTCACACTGGTGCAAACCTCTATGTGGGCTCTTATTTCTTTAAGAGAAAGCTAAATCAGAATAAGCCATCTCTGTACATAAATAAGAGTATGCACACAGATATTTGCACCAGGGTAAGTAATCTATCACTTTTAGTTAAACCAGTGCAACTTTACCATGTAGACAAGGCCTTAGATTGGTTCTAAGTGCTGGTGTGTGATGATTTTTTTTCCTTTTCAAAGATTTAGAAAAGGCTGCCTTTATTAAGAATAAACCTCATTCAGCTGTGATTCATGCTGCAAAAGTTAGGGCAAATAGTCCCTTGTGGGCAAAGGGAGGGAGAACAACTACACATCTATCATCCTTCAGATTTTGGGTTTAAGACTATCGTTCATTTTCTATCTTCATCCAGGTTAATCTGAGGAAAGTACTAGAGTATTAGCAGCCTGTTTTTTTTCACTTTAAGATTTTGTGTTTGATAGAAATGATGGAGAAAATATAAAGGCAAAGTGAACCCAGTTTTAACATTGTGCATTTATGAAATATTAGAATGTGTGTAATCTTGAGCAAAAGCTTATTAATCTCGTGGTGAAATAGTACATACTCAAGCTTGTGAACCCCCAAACCACTCAATATTTGAGAGCTTTAGTGTGCCTGCCTCTTACTGGGCATCCCTTTTGAGGCTGAGGCAGCCCTGATTCTGATGGAAGTTGGAAATAGTTCAATCTGGGGGGGGGGGGGGGGGAAGACACCAATTTGTTGAAGAATGATCTAGAGATAGCAGACAGCCTTCCTATGGGATTCATAGCTCCCTTGAAAGTAATGCTGTGCTACAGGTACAATAATCTCTTCTAGCATCATAGACACCAGATGTATGTGCAGGAACAACATGATGTTTAAGAAAGAAACTCGCGGTTTGTCTACACAGTGCCAGTACTGTTTGAAACATGACCACATCAGTGCGCACTAGGGAACTTTTAGTGCACACCAGCAGGGCCCACATGTACAGTTAGTGCATGACACACTAGTGCACACTGAAGTTTACATCCCAGTTGGTACACACTAATGCACAGTGTAGACAAGCTCTCAGATCTGTAGCTCACATTTAGTCCTACCTAGTCTGAATGGGTGTGATGACAGGTCATGTGTGTAAAGACTTGTAAGTCAAAGTAGTTACTGTGAAAATAGGTCTTAAATTCTTATCTATCCTGGAAGGAGTTCAGATGCTGTCTCTGGAATATGAGTCTTTCAGAATGACTGTTGAAATATTAATATTAGCCTCTAATATTAATATTTCAATCTGGATACTAGCATAAATATTCATAGTATTACTGTGATTTGAAATTAATTGTCGTTAGTCTTGGGAAGACTCCATAACAGTGCTGTATTCTAAAATTGAATTGATTCTTTTTTAGGAGACCCATGCACAGTTTCTTCTCAGCTGGAGTTAGAGGAAGCCTTTCGGTTGTATGAACTAAACAAGGATTCAGAGCTTCTAATTCATGGTAGGATAGAACTTTGTCTTTCTCCTTACACGCATGGGCCAATACATGTTCTTTTCTATATACGGTGGTATTTTATGGCCTCTCTCATAATCTGAATACTGAGGATCCTTCTCTATTTTGCACTTTTCTCCATCTCAAACATCAAAGCCTCATATGGCATTCAATGGCCTTGTGGCAAAAAACTGCCCCAAACTCCCATTGTAGTATGTCAGCACTTCCTTAATTGAGGGATACATCTCATTGTACTACATTAAATACACAAAAATGGAAGATGGAGGGTCTGATCATCACCACTGCTTGCCTGTTTATATTCACAGGAGACAGAGAGATGTATATCATGCAACGTCCTAACATATGTTTCCTGTTCAGTGCTTTAGAGGAGGGGTTGTATTATTAGGAAAAACAAATTTCACTTAGCTCCATTCACAATCCCAAACTAGCTTTTTGTTAAACTTTAAATTCTTCACAAAGTTATAGGTCACCCGAGAAATGGTGTTAGTATGTGCCACAGAGTATTAGGCCCCTGCTTCAATGAAAGGTGAGACAGCCCCAAAGTTCAATGCCAGTCTGCTTGGAAGGAAGGGAAAGTATCTTCATAGTCCTGGATTTGGGAATCTATTTATTTCTGTGCACATGAGCAAGAATCATAACTTCTAACTCCAGTCATACTTGGTTATTACTGTTGTCCTAATTACTGTTTCTATTTTCTGTTTTGTTTTTCAAGATTCCTAAAATGATGGATCTTTCTACCATTCTAGGACAGAATTCCTAATGCTAATCATCTTCACTATGTGACGGCATGGGGGAGAGGGAAAATTCCATGTACTTAATGTAGTATCTGGCATTCACTTCTGAGAGTGTCTGTCTGTAGGACAAGAAGTAATGGGCTTAATCTGCAGCAAGGGAGATTTTGGTTAGCTATTAAGAAATTGCAAACTGTAAATGTAGTTTAAGCTCTGGAATAGGCTTCTGGGGAGGTTGTGGAATCTCCATCATTGACGGTTTTTAAGAATCTTTCAGGGATGGTCTAGATTTAATTAGTCCTGCCTGAATGCAAAGAGATGGACTTCTCAGGATCCCTTCTAGTTTCCACTTAGTTCAAATAGATCATTACCCAAGTCTTTGCATACATGGTGACATACTGTAATACAGTGGCTCTCAACCTTTCCAGACTACTGTACCCTTTTCAAGAGTCTGATTGGTCTTGTGTACCCCTGAGTTTCCCCTCACTTAAACTACTTGCTTACAAAATAAGACATAAGAATACAAAAGTGTCACCGCACACTTACTGAAAAATTACTTTTCTCATTTTTATCATATAATTATAAAATCAATTGGCATATAAATATTGTACTTACATTTCAGTATATAGAGCAGTATAAACAAGTTATCTGTATGAAATTTTAGTTTGTACTGTTTTCGCTAGTGCTTTTTATGTAGCCTGTTGTAAAACTAGGCAAATATCTAGATGAGATGGCATACCCTCAGGAGTACACGTATCCCTGGTTGAGAACCACTGCTGTAATATGCTTTCCCTTCTACCTTGACTCCACTTCAGTTGTGACAGGCTGAAGTGATTAAACTAGCACCATGTCTAACTCTGCTCAGTGGTCTACACTAGTGCTTCCTCTGTTACTATTTCCAGTGTAGAGTCCCAGGTGCTCGGCAAACTGAGAAAAGTACTAGTGTAGGCAAGACCATAAATGCCTGGCTATTAAAACACCATAATGTGGGGTATTTATGGTTGAGGTTCCCAAACGCGGGTCCATCGCCTGTGGGTGGTCTGTAGAGAGCTGGCTGGTTACGTGGTGCTGGCTTCTCAGTTACTGTTGCTCAGTTACCTTATTTGACATATTAAAAAATACACTAAACAATTTCCTAATGTTACTTTGCCACGTAGGCAACTGCTGTAGCTGCCACCTGGACACTACAACTAAAAATGAGTTGAGAAGTAGCCATCAAAATCTGTTACAATGTAGTTCATCTTATAGAAAAAGTTTGGAAAGTCTGATCTATAGATTTGGTAGCAATACAGCCTCTTCTGATGAGTACTTGAAGCCAGTTTGTGTCCATGATAATATCAGATGAACAAACTTGCATTAATCATTCATGTTCTTGTGAGGGAGATATTGTAATCCCCATTTTACATGAGGAAATGACGCCAGAATGGTGGTTACTTGCCAAAGGTCACAGAAGAAGTCAGGATAGTCTTAGAATGTGGAAGTTCCTGGCTCCAATTCTTTGCTTAAGCCTAGTCTCTAGCATAGCAAGAGGTCTGCAGTGGACTTTTTCAGTACCGGGTGGCTTACAGAATGCAGGAGACCTCTCAGGCAGTTGTTTAAAAGAGCCTTTTTCAAGGAACCTCATTGGCTGTACACCATGGATCTTACATTGACCTTGTTTCTTCCCAGATGATGCAAGTACTTTTTGTAACTGTTGTATATCTTGAAAATGTATCTTTATATCTGAAGTAAAAGATTAATCTGGAGCATTACTGTTTACCTTACAGTGTTCCCTTGTGTACCAGAAAGGCCTGGCATGCCTTGTCCAGGGGAAGATAGTAAGTAGGCATTTTTGTAAAAGAAATACTTTCTGTAAATGGTCATTGCACGGCTATCCAATAACACAAACTGAACTGATTAAAATAGTAGCTTTTTGTTTTTCCTCTTGATAAGCTTTGATATAGAACCTATCTAAGAAATTGAAACTGAAATGTGGCTATTACTCTTCTCGACAGGCTATCTGGTTTTCCCCAAGGGTGAATAGCCATGATGACTAACAGTGCTGTCCAGTCTTATTAGCTGAAATGGCCAAAAATCAAACTACATTTCAGGCACCTTTCAGGCCTTCTCCCATTGCTGTCTTTCCATGGACTCTGAAAATTGTATATGGTGCTGAAAATGCTTTACAATTCAATGAAATGGTGGAAGAGGGAGTTACTGTAACCTCTTAAATTATACTCTTGAGAATTCCTAGTCATGCCAATTGAAATTACTATTTCTATTAAGATTGGATTTGCCCAGATAACTTTTGAATGGATTATGCAGCTCGGGGTGGCAGGGGCTTTCCTTCCCCATGCTCCCCAATCTATTTGATTTTACAATGGTTTGCATTCAACCGTTGCTCTTAAATTAAGGTTGCAAACCTGCCCATTCATCCTTGGATGTGGTCCCACCAGGTCAGGCTTGTCATGTTCATAAGGCAGTGTGAGGAATCTTGCAGTGTTGCTATAGTGACATACCTCTTCTCTGACACCACAGAAGACAAGTCTCCCAGAGATTGGGACTTTCACACACATTCCTACACAGGTTACAGAAAACTAGGAGTTTCTTGTATTTTTGCAGTTAGCTTCCTGTGCTGGCATACTCTCATGAGAACCAATTCAAACCTTTACAACAGAAGTAAACCCACTTGATGCAAGTTGCATGTTTTCATCCAGCATGAACTTGTTCAAATTTTTGTGCTGGAAGGCACATTGAGTTAATATTGTAGGTCTTGCTGCACTCAAAGTTGTGCTGTGTTTTGTCACTCCAGGATAAGCATTTATCTCATTTGTAACCACTCATGCCTCTTTGTATTACTTGCTCCTGCTTGCTCCCTAACATGACAATTTTCTTTTACATGTCTGCTTCTCTTGGACAGCTACCATTTTGCTGGTTGAATATTTGTAGTCCTCGTCAGCAGTAATGAAGTGTCATGTTTTTGTCTTCCTGGGTACAGCAGTGGTTGTCATTTTATAGACTCAATTCAGCTGCTGCTCTTGAAATTTGAGGTCGTTACCCAACTGTTGCTAACTAGTTAGTTCTCTACTAGCCCTTAAGAAAAGCCTCAGCTTTAACTTGGGGGCTTAAAGCTATAAAAAGGCATGCTATTGGTACAAATTTTGTATAGAAAAGTAGCTATATTTTTAGCTATCAAGATATCGACACTGCATTTGTTAGCATGGTATCGGAGTCCCTGATAGATTGAAACACATTTAAAATTATTTGATTTGCTTGACTATACACATGGAGAGTAAGTGTGACACCAGTCAGTTTTTTAAAAACTGGCATTGCCAAATCATAAGTGGGTTTGAAAAACAACTTAAGATGCAGTTCTGTGTGGTTCAGTGTTAATCCATTGAGTTCCTAATGTGGTACTGCCAGTGCAAAATGCATTGTGTGTTGGCAGCTGTGGGCCTAAAGTATCAGGGGATTATAGTGCAGCAAAGCAAGTGTAAATCAAGGCAATCCTCTTTATTCTTTCAATTTAAATAAAATAGTTGCTTTTTTATTCAAATATTTGTAATACCTGGACAATCTCCCTTCTCTTGCTCAGTCTTGAATGCTTTTAGACAATAGCAATTATTTGTAATTACCATCAGTGTTTGGGGGTTTTGATTGGTGGGGGCAGCACTCACCTCAGTGAAGAGGTTTTAGAGTCCCAAACTGTAGTTTCTGTTCATGGCAAGACATTCCCATTGACATCAAATTCTGCTGGAGTTGAGAATTACAGGATTGGGCCCTTTATTTGTAAATTAGTGTGTATAAAGTGTCTATGAATATGGTGTAATGTTCACACTTGCATGGATATAATTGTATTTTACTTATCTTAGAATCCATTTATCGTCGTGGTGCCCGGCGGTGGCGGAAGCTCTATTGTGCAAATGGTCATACTTTCCAAGCTAAGCGATTTAACAGGGTAAGACTTTCTGTGGGTAGTTGAATGCAACGTTAAAACCTTGATGCACTGTCCTTCTCTTCTGTAGTTGTACTATTACTGCCTCCAAAGATTAAAATGTAGATTGTCTAGAGAAAATGGACTTTGCCCTCAGTATATCAAATAAGGTGGTTCCTTTTATATAAGTTCTGATAACCAGAAAGTATACTGAAGTAACTCAAGTTTACATTTCTAGCTTCAACACCTCTTTTATTTGTCTATAGTATGAGTAGTTTGTTTTTTTAACTTAATCTATAGCATTTGGTCTTTTGATAACCCTGTGCTTTCAGTAAAATTTGCCACTTGGGCTATCTAAATGTTACACACTTAAATAGGTAAATTATAACCCAAATTCACTGATTATTTTTTTTTTAATCCAAAGCACACCAAAAAAACCTACTTCTTATATCAACAGTACATAACACTGATAGTATTTTTAATATTGTTTGCAGAGGTTAGATGCCAGCACTGATTTTAAATGGCTGTGAGCTGGCAGACCACTCTGGGTACTGAGCTCCCAATAGGCATTGTCAGTGTTTTGAGCTCTAGGAACAAACAAGTTTGAGTCACTTGTGTTACAGGGAGTTCTCTTTATGGTTTTGCAAGTAAGAACTGAGGTGTTCAGCCAGCCTCCATATGCTGGAGTAGGAGCAATCAGAAGTAACAAGCATGTATTTGTCATATTAACTGTAAGAAATTAGGTACTTTTTTCAGATTTGTTTAAAACATTTAACAAGGTGTAAGAAAATTTGCAATGTGTAATGAGTAGTATTTGTATAATACAGGTCCATACACAATATATCTTCTCCACCTTCACCACTGGACTCATTAAAAACATGGAATTTCTCTCCAACTCCCTCCTTGACCCTCTCCAAATCTGGTTTCTGCTCTTCGTTCCACTGAAGCAGCTCTTTCCAAAGGCTCTTGAGTGACCTCTAACTAGCCGCCTCTATGGTGGTTTATCTCCAGTTGATTTGTTAGCGTCATTTTGTGGATTGTCATTTTGTGGATTGCCCAAAGCTCAGTCTTTGAGGCCCTCCTATAAACACCTCTAAGTGTACTGAAACTGCTGCTTTGTTAATAGTTTTATTGCTACCTTGTGCTCCTCCTCTATTATATCCATTTTACTCCTGGGGGGAGTTCTTCACCAAAAAAACCCTCTGCGCACAATATTTTAAAATTCTGCATATTTTGTTTGCCAAAATAACACAATATAATTATGCTAGTGACCGGTATTTTTGAAATAAATTACCAAAATAATTGAAAACAAGTATGTCTGTAATAATACAGACAACAACAAAAATTCAGGAAATGTTGTTTGACTGTTTTCTTACTAGGCATATTAATACAGAACTTTGAGTAGTAATTCATTTCAACTGCAATACAGAAATGTATTTCCTACACCCCTCAAAAGCAGTGCAAAGGGAGTCAAGGATAATGAGGGCTCCGGCTTGGGGTGTGGTCTCTGGGGTGGGGCCGGAGATGAGGGGTTCAGGGTGCAGGAGGGGGCTAGGGGTTGGGGCCAAGGGGTTTGAAGTGTGGGAGAGGGCTCCAGGCTAGGGCCCTTTGTGTTCTACTGCAGAGGTTCTCAATCTTTTTGTTAGTCCCCGTCCCCCCCCCCATGCTATAAAAACTCCACTTCCCATCTGTGTCACAACTATTTTTTTCTGCATATAAATGCCAGAGCCGGTGTTAGGGGGTAGCAAGCAGGACAATTGCCCGGAGCCCCATGCCACAGGGGCCCCCATGAAGCTACATGGCTCAGGCTTCGGCTTCAGCCCTGGGTGCAGGGCTCAGGGCCCCGGGCTTCAGCTCCATGCAGTGGGGCTTAGGCTTTCTGTCCTGGGCCCCAGCAAGTCTAATGCTGGCCCTGCTTGGCAGACCCCCTGAAATCTGCTCATGCCCCCCCACGGGGGCCTGGACTCTTGGTTGAGAACCACTGTTCTACTGTAATATAAACAATGAAAATGCTGCTGGTTGCTTCCCTGTTTTTAGTGTTCATTTTTAATCTGAATTTTGTTGATTTGTCCTCTTAGCGAGCTCATTGTGCCATCTGCACTGACCGAATTTGGGGTCTGGGGCGTCAGGGATATAAATGTATCAACTGTAAACTCCTTGTTCACAAGAAGTGCCACAAACTTGTCAACATTGAATGTGGCCGCCACGCACTACAACCAGTAAGTGAAATTGTTATCTAGTAACTATTCTGAAACAAAACTTTATAGCATAGTGGAATGGTAACTAGGGCAATGGTCCCCAAACTCTGCAATGCTGAGGACCTCAATGGCAATTGGACAGGAGCCTGATACCTGCACCCAACTTGCATATCTATATATAAAAAATAAATGTACACCCCTGCCTGTTGCTTGTATCTGTATCTTAATTGATGCTACTTACTACTTGTATAATGCTCTACATCTTCAAAATGCCATGGGGAGGGGGAAATGGTTCCTCACATATCACTGAGTGGGAAAGTATAGCTCCCATTTTACAGATGGAAAATTCTGAGGCACAGACGTTGCAGTTTGGCCAAAGCCACACAGCGAGTCAACTATGCTTAGCCCATTACATCATGATAACTAGGATTATCTGTCAGACATCATCAAAACATTGCAGATCAGTTTGTCTTCACCCTGCTATTAAAAAGGAGACAACTAAAGCCACATCTTAAGAATTCAATAGGCTGTATTTTGGGCATCCCTGAACTAGTCAAATGACTAGTAAGGCCATTTGAACTTTTCTTTGTCTTTCCCATTCCCACTGCTGTATTTTTCTCTACTGAAGTGGGTTGCTATTTCAGTATGTCTGAAGTATGAATAAATCTAGATCTATGTAGAATTAGTAGAATGGGTCCCAAGTAGTTGCCTTCTTCATAGTTTTCTGATGTACATTTTTTGTAGTGAGGATAATTAACCATTCAAACAATTTACCAAGATTCATTGTAGATTCATCACTGACCATTTTTAAATCAAGATTGGATGTTTTTTTTCTAAAAGATATGGTATTGGAATTATTTTGAGGATGTTCTATGGCCTTTGTATACAAGAGAGCAGACTATCACAATGGTCCCTTTTGGCCATGGAATCCATGAATCTGTGATAGCTATTTGAATTATGCCAATATGGATGGTGTTTAGTCTAACTTTTAAATTTTAACTAGGTTATGTTAATCAGATAAAGATCGTTTATGGTAGTCTAGTTTTTAAAGTAAAATGTGAAAGGAATAGGAACTGGAGTCCCCTGGTTAAACTTGGCTCTGTCTGAATCTCAGACTTGAAGGGACAAGTGCATCTGCTCTTCCATGTTCAGTCATAACAATATAGTTAATTGTTACAAACTGTAATAGGCAAGAAATGAACCATTACTGTGAACATTTTGTAGGAGCCTGTAATACCTATGGATCAGTCATCAGTGCACCCAGATAACATAGAACCAGGTAAGATGAATAAACGTATTTTTATATAAGGTTTCTGCAATTTCAAGTACTTTAAACAGAATTAATATATTATTTCAGAGTTGATTGATTTGTTAAATTTAAAACATTTCATGTGAACAAACAGAATAATTTTATGTAGTGTTGTTGTGGCCGTGTTGGTCCCAAGGTATTAGAGACACAAGGTAGGTGAGGTAATATTTTGTATTGGACTAACTTCTGTTGCTGAGAGACAAGCTTTTGAGCTACACAGAGTTCTTCCTCAGGTATGGGAAAGGTACTTAGGGATTGTCTTCATGTATAGCAGCACAGCTACACCAGTGGACCTGCGCCACTGTAGCACTTTAGTGAAGATGCTACTGTGCCTACGGGAGAGTTTCTCCCATCAGCGTAGTTAATCCATCTCCCTGAAGGTGGTAGCTATGTCAACAGGAGAAGCTCCCCCATCAACATAGCACGGTCTACACAGGGAGTAGGTTGTATAACTACGTTGCACAGGGGTGTGGATTTTTAACACCCCTGAGCGAAGTAGTTATATCGATCTAGGTCTGTAGTGTAGACCTGGCCGTAGAATGTTACGGCTAAATACAAGATCAAACAGATAGTGTAGCATAAGTAGTTAGAATATGTGCTAAGGGACCTTTGAAGGTGAAGTGGCCTATTAACACCCCTGTAGTCATAGGACAAAAAGGAGGGTTAACTGGTTAAAGGTTGTTGTAAGAAGCCATAAATCTGCTGTCTTAAGACCATGCTTCTTTTTAAAGTGTCTAGCAAAGTTATGAATTTAAGCTCCCAGGCTTGTCTTTTGAAAGTGTTGTGCAGGCTTTCCATTCAGGATGAGGACTGATAGGTCAGATAGAGTGATGAATTATTATGCATAAGGCTGCAAGTTTGTCACGGAGGTAAATTGATACAAGTCTGTCTTAATTTAGCCGAAAACTAGATGCAAGATGTATCTCCAGGCTAGGGCCCTGATTGGGTGATGTGGTGTTTGTTGTCTTTTATCATTTCTTGTGATAGTTCATTTGAGATCACAGTGATTGTTTGGTTTCACCCAAATAGTTGTTGTTGGGGCATTTAGTTCACTGGATGAGGTGTGCCATGTTGTGATAGGCATGTGTAGGACCCATGGATCTTGAAAGGTGTGTTGGGGGTGGTGTTGATTATTGTAGCAGTGGAGATGTCTGCAGGTTTTGCATCTGTTCTGGCAGGGCCTGGTGCAGCTTTGAGTTGGTGTGCCCTGGTCTGTGGGGAACTTGCTTCTGATGAGGTTGGGGCATTGTTTGAAGGCCAGAAGAGGAGGTTCAGGAAAGATTTTTATTTTTATTTTATTTTTTTTCAGGATGGGATTCCCATCATATATGGGTTTTGGCTGTTTGACTTCCCCATATGGGTTCAAGTGTGGGGTGGAAGGTGACAACTAGGGGTGTGCATTTGGAGGGGTTTTTATTTCTAAATTGAAGCAGGTTGTCTTGGGGTATTTCAGTGGAGCGTCCTTGTTTGGTAAAGGTGATTTTGAGTGTATTAAGGTGTATTCCCTGGACTTTCTCCTCAAAGCATATTCTGTGGTATCTGAGTGCCTGGGTGTAGATAACAGATTTCTTGGTATGTTTGGGTTGGTTACTGGATCTATGAAGGTAGCTGTCTGTATGGTTCCATTGTTGAAGCTCATTGTGTTGTCCAAGAACTTGATGCTAGCGTGGGAGTGTTCCAGAGAGAATTTAATGGGTGGGCGGTGGTGGTTGAAGTTGTGGTGGAAATTTGAGGGAGTTTGTCATCTGTCCAGAGCACAAAAATATCATCCATGTATCTCAGGTGTCTCATTGGTTTCATGGTACATTTGTGTGGGGTATCATAGCTTGTAATTTGATACTTGATGGGGACCCCATTTTGAAAAGCTATTAGGAAAACATCCCTGTTTTTAAGCCTGTTTATTTACATGCTTGTGCACAGATGTTTGTATTACACCTTAATCTCCTATCCTGCTGTTTAAATCAAAAGTTAAAGATGGAGAACAAATATTTCCCTATGTTTTAGATTTACACTTCTCTGTAAAGGGTAGCTCTTCAAAAGAATGTGGTGGTTGTGGTTTGATTTGTACAAAAACAGAGAATAAAGTTAACTAATAGTTAGCATCATGGCAATGTCTTTTATACAGAAAGCAAGTCAGAGGGGTAGCTAAGTAGGAATAGTAATCTTCACTTTCAAACTTGGATCTAGTCACTATTCTTACCAGTAAAACCAAAATTTACCAGACACTGTCTCTTTTTCTCTTTATTATTATCTGTCTGCAGAAATCAGTTTGCATCATCTGGGCTGATCTCATGCAATCATACATTTTAGAGGTTCAAATTTTTAACTTGCAGTCTTGTATTAATTATGAATGGGAGATGCTTAAACAATGTGGGGGTGAAATAGTGTCCAAAGCTTTTTAGTTGGTAAACCAACTTTTAAATCAATATACTCTTTTTTCTTAGAATATTTGCTGAAATCTTTTCTGCTACACTGTAATCCTCTCTATTTTTTTAAACTCCCATGCACAAAAATAGAGAATGTCTGTCCTTCATTTAATAGAGTGAACACCTTCATTTTTTTTTTTTGCTTGTTCTTTTAGTGATTCCATATAATCCTTCTAGTCATGAGAGCTTGGACCATGTTGGTGAAGAAAAAGAGGTAACGTGTTTTAGAGCAGTACACCTAATTATTCAAAAGTCTGGAAATCTTAGCAGTTTTAAATGATACTGAAACTTAGCACATAGTGACCTATGTACAGATTACCTAATTTAACTCCTGTACAAACTCAAGTTAGTCCATTTGTGAGACACAAAGTTTGTGATCAGACACAGAATTCAATATGCAGGTAAAACTTTAATATGAAACTGACAGGAGAGATTAAGCATTTTAAAGTACAAAGCTGTTCTTAAAAAAGGGGGCGGGATAATTATTAATTACTACTACAGCACAGTAAATGAACTATTTAAACCCCCAATATCCTAAAAAAAAAATCTGCAGTTACCAATATATTATAATATTGGCAAGGTTGCTCACTTGCGTTTAAAAATCTTTATTTATAGGCGATGAGTATTAGAGAAAGTGGCAAACCTTCCTCCAGTCTGGGCCTTCAAGATTTTGATCTGCTCCGAGTTATAGGAAGAGGTAGTTATGCTAAAGTACTACTGGTTCGATTAAAGAAAACGGAACGCATTTATGCAATGAAGGTTGTGAAAAAAGAACTAGTCAATGATGATGAGGTAAGCAATGTTTCTACCAATGGACTAAATAATTCTTCCTTTAGAAAGAACTTGCACATAGTACCCATAAGAACTAGATTTGAAACCTTACTGTAATCACACTATATATTATGCATAAGGCTGCAAGTTTGTCACGGAGGTAAATTGTTACAAGTCTGTCTTAATTTAGCTTAAAACTAGATGCAAGATGTAAACATTTCAGTGTGTCTGACTGCATTTCTTAGGGGAGGGGGGATAGCTCAGTGGTTTTGAGGATTGGCCTGCTAAACCCAGGGTTGAGAGTTCAATCCTTGAGGGGGCCACTTAGGGATCTGGGGCAAAATCAGTACTTGGTCCTGCTAGTGAAGGCAGGGGGCTGGACTCGATGACCTTTCAAGGTCCCTTCCAATTCTAGGAGATAGGATATCTCCATTAATGTATTTATTGGTGAAATACTATTTAAACTGTATGAAAGAAGACATTGTTTTCTAAGCTTGGGATGTTTTTATAAATAGGATATTGATTGGGTACAGACGGAAAAACACGTCTTTGAACAGGCTTCAAATCATCCTTTCCTTGTTGGACTACACTCTTGCTTCCAGACAGAAAGCAGGTAAGGTCAGAAACTAACAGAACAGAAGTGTCTATTTGTCACACTTCTTCGTGACATTTTTCATATTGGTAGGTATCCCAAAGGGCTATCCAAATATTGAATGCAGAATAATTACTAAAAACTATAGCACCATAAACATCTGTGGTGATTTGTAAACAAAAGGATTCTGAGAAGAAGGGAATTTGAAGGAGGCGTGCTTCATGAAGAAGGAAACTGTCCTAAGCACAGGAGACAGTATGATAGAAGAAAAAGCACAGTATAGGAGAAAAGAAGTAGAAGCATAGAGGATGAGAGGGAGTATGAAGAAATGAGAATAGATGTAATAGGGGATGAGGTTATATGAGGCCTCGATGAGGGAAAGGAGCTTGAATATGGTGCAGTTAAATAGGAAATGAATGAAGGAATTCAAAAAGGAGTGGTGAGGTGG